CAGCAAAACCTGGAAGAGCGGCCATTCTAGAGCCTTTTTAAAAACTTCTTGGGGTAGCCAGGAGAAGCCGGCGTGCATGGCACCCACTATAGACGCCACAAATCATAATCTATATATACTACAGAAGCGTCTATTATACCATCATTCGTCATCCTTCGGATAATTTTTCGTCACCGCAGTGCTGACACGTGGCCATTCGTATACTGCTGTTCGACTTTACAGAATACACCACGCAGAGAAATATCCGTGTTAGGCTTTCAACAAGTTAGACGACCTACCTTTATCAGAAAAAAAAAAGACTATTAACGCCATCATCTATACCTAAAGTCACAGAAGAAGGTCTTACACAAGCGCTATCCTGTGATCTACTGGCCTATCAAAACGACTCCGAGTGGAATGCTCTTGCTTTTTCTCTCGTGATTGTTTTTCGCCATATTATTCATAAATTTTTTTTCTCTCTCTCTCACTTTAAACTCCCCATTCGCCAACACCACTGCAGGCTAGCATATTTTCTCGTTTACCTCTCTGCTTTCCTCTTTTCTTACACATCTCTCTCTTCGGAGAAGCGGGGTACCTGCTACAAACTTGTAAAGCATTTTGTGCCCTTTTTTGATGTTGTGGCTCACGACTATGAAAAATCATACCTGAGGCTTTTGTAATGAAAGTCTTCTCGCGATTCGCTTTGTGTGCCTACACCGTTTTACTGCACATGTTAACGCGATTTCTTACCCGACATGAAGCCTGCATAGGGTAGATTTGCAATGGCGTGTCAAGCACAGAATTCTGGGCTGCCACGCAGGGGGCCAGGGTTCAAATCGCATTCTATCCTCGGTATTATTTATTTAGATTTTTTTATTTCGCATGATAGTGGTTACGCACAGTGGGGGCATCGGTGCTAAAATCAGTCCTTGCTTTGATCTCATAACAATTTTTGATTTAAAATGTTTGCCCCGCCGCGGTGGTCTAGTGGCTAAGGTACTCGGCTGCTGACCCGCAGGTCGTGGGATTGAATCCCGGCTGCGGCGGCTGCATTGCCGATGGAGGCGGAAATGTTGTAGGCCCGTGTGTTCAGATTTGGGTGCATGTTAAAGAAACCCAGGTGATCGAAATTTCCGGAGCCCTTCACTACGGCGTCTCTCAAAATCATAATGTGGTTTTGGGACGTTAAACCCCACAAATCAATCAATTGCTTTAAAACGTTCGTAATAAAAAGAAAAGAATGCATGTGTGATAGTTTGACACATTAGTATACTTTATAGTTTGGTCGCCATGTTTGATACTAGCACGTTCAGACGTTACGTGAAAACTATACACATTTTGAGTGTCTCAAAAGTGGATGACAGACAGTACAAAAATTATAGTTGACATGATAAATTGGTCACCATAAATAACACACATTGTCTTTAGAGAGGGAAAGGAATCACAGCATATCCACGGAGTGAATGATGATTGGTGGGGCGAAGCGTTCGTCAGTCCATCCGTGCTTCCATTCGTCCATTCGTTCTCGCTTCCGTTCGCCCATGCGTGCGTCCATGCGTCTGTTTGTGTGTCCGTCCATCCGTGTGACCGTCGGTGCGTCCATCCGTCCATGCGTCCATCCATGCGTCCGTTCGTACGTCCAATCTTCCGTCCATCCGTTTGTTCGCCTGTCTGTCCATCCGTCCCTCCATGTGTCTGTTCGTGCGGCCGTCCGTCCATGCGTCCGCCCCTTTGTCTGTCTGTCCAGCCATGCGTGTGTCAGTCCGCCCGTTCATCTGTATATCCCTCCGTCCGTCCGTCTATCTACTGAACACTCAAAGTACCGCAATCTCACATCTTTTCAGCATGTATTTATCATAAACAAGTGCCGCCATCGAGCGGATATTCTATAAGGACCACTATTTCGGGTATGTGCCACCGGTGGTTACGCACTAAAACGAGGGACCCACAAGCCACGCCATAATGAGCTTTGCGCCTAAAAGTGAGAAAGGTCGAATTTAGTCATGGCTGATAAATTCAAGGTTGTTTTATATGCCACCAGTTATGATTTTTTTAAAAATTACACGTTGAATACTTATCATGATTGCTTGAATTCTAAAAAAATGGAGTTGGTAGTGGTGTGTACAGCAATTGGAAAAGGACATGCGTTTATATGAGCGATTTAAAAGCAGAAACTTTTCAGGGTAACTGGAACATACACACGATACACGAGAAAACGTATGGGGACCTAAACTGGTTATTTGGGCGTGCGATTATTGCCCGAAGATCCCGAGACGTGCAAGTGACCACGTTGACACAGTGAGTGTCTTGGTGGACGGAGATTACGTCAGGATGATCTGTTCGCCACCGCAGCATCAACAAGATACGCTCTTCCCACAGCAGGGTTGATTACTCGATAGGTAAGTGGCACGGGGTGCGGCTATTTTTAGTTTCCTTAATTTTTTAGCCCTTCGTGATTCATCGTTGGCGCGGAATGCTACGCTCCTTAAGTCGGCCACACGTGCAACGTTTGAATAGATCGGTAGCTGCGCACGCACCGCCCCGAGGTGCTTCTGTTGGTCGCCGTGGCTCACATATAAGAGCTTGGGAGGGGTAGTAAAGAATGCGCCCTACTTTACGTAATGAGTCTTCATCACGTGAAGAGGAGTAGTAGATGACCGAATGAGTGTATAACATGCTCAGAGCCACCCCGTTATCCCAGTGTCAATGCTTACTCATCCACGTTAACGACTTTTAATGAAGGAGAATAGTTGTCTGGCGCATAATATTGTCTACGGTGGCTTCTCTCTCACCATTTTTGCCACAAACTTCCACCGAACACGTGCATAAAGACCAGCGGCTGTGTTTACAAGTTTCATTCGCTTTTAGGACAAAAGCCTTGAAACAACACTAAAGTAAAAAAAAAAACTCGGTCAATTTTTATGATTATTCATATCAAAGCTCTCCTGCTGGCTGTTTACTTACAGGAGAGAAAATAAACGAAGAAAAATTTCAATTTTATGTTTCGCGTCAACTTCGTGTGCATGTATCTCGTCGTGATGTAACGGCTTTCGAAGTGTTCTTGCGTGTTTTGTACGCATTCGTTTCACGCAGTTTTCTAAAAATTAAGGCGTCAGGTTCCTGACCTCTTCAGGGGACAATCCACTTCATACGTAGGTCCTGGTAGATGGTGGGAAATGTATAAAATTGCAGGGAGTTTGTGCGAGAACTTCAAGGTGACGTCGCCCCCTGATCTTCTGTTCGTACGTTTTATTCGCACGTCAGACGTTTTGGTATTGTGGTGTAGAGTGGTGCCTTTGGTATCTTAGAAGAGTGTGTTGCAAATACGATTTTCTTTTGCTCCGCCGCGGTGGTCTAGTGGCTAAAGTACTTGGCTGCTGACCCACAGGTCGCGGGATCGAATCCCGGCTGCGGCGGCTGCATTTTCGATGGACGCGAAAAGGCTGCAGGCCCATGTGCTCAGATTTGGGTGCACGATAAAGAACCTCAGGTGGTCGAAATTTCCGGATCCCTCCACTACGGCGTCTCTCATAATCATACGGTGGTTTTGAGACGTTAAGCCCCACATATCTATCGCTCCCAGAGTGCCATCAAGGCTACGTTACGCTATGTATCAAGGCTACGTTTTTCCTTGCCCGTACTTCGTGCTCGAGGAAAAAGGTCTAGGCAATTGCAGAGGCACACAAGGAAGTCGCTTCAGACATTCCTGAGAACAACGGCAGTCTTACGATTGCTTCAAGCTTGTCGCAGATTGTGCGGGTGTTTGTGATCATTTTGCGTGCGCGGCTGCCCGTGAGCGAATGTATATACGAGTACGTTGCTCCTCATCATATACGTGCTACGAAAGTGAGCAAGATAACAACTCCATTTTCTGTTGCAGTTTAAACGTGGCTTGCCTTCTCTTCATGACGCATCTCTTGATGTCATGCTTCAGTGCGCTAATAGCTGTATCAGCCTACGCTAAGCGGGGAAGCTTCTGCGTTTCTTTTGTGCAGTTTTGAGCTTTTTGTCTTGTTCGTTGTGCAGTGCATCCGTTTACTTTATGTCTGCCAGATTATAGTAATTTGGACCCGTGCACAGCCCTGCGGTCCACACCTGTATCCATAGTCGGAGGCCGATTGTAGTAACTAGGAACTCACTGCAAGCGCTACAAATGAGAGTGAAATCGAGAGAATTTCACACCCTGACATCTCAATGGTTCCAAAAAAATAAACGTCCTGATGCTTTTACTGATATGTTAGAGGATATGCGCATACGGTGAAAGGAAAGGAAAAATTCCGTGTACATTTAGAATGGCAATTAAAGGGGCGAGTACTATACGCTATAGCTTCCAAAGCGCGCAGGAGTTCTCTCGTCTTGTCTTGAACGCGCTTCCAGCGAATGGTTTCACAAGCGCGCATCCTTATGGAGAGCGTTGGCTGGACGCAACAGCATCGTTGGGAAGACGTCGGGCGCTCCGGGTGAAATTGGGTCGGTGGTTTTCAGCTCGAGGGAGGGAAGCCGATGGTAGGAGGAGGAGGGCGCGCGCGCTGTCACTGCAGTGTTTTCAAGGCCAAACAATTCTCCGAGCTCTCCCTTCGCTCTTCTCGCGTCTGCGCCCGCTGATTCGGCAGGCGGCAGCGTTCACGGTCGAGCGATTTGGGCCCCCTTTGTTTCTCGTAAGGAGCACCGCGAGCGTAAAATGAGGAGCCCAAGAGCGACTAGAGGAGGAGGGCAGCTTTCGTGCAGACAGATGGAAAAAGATAAAGAAAAGAAAGAAACTAAAGGCGACGAGCCATCTCGCGAAGCGCGCGCACATGCCGGTATGGCAGCGTTCTCGCGGTCAGCTAGAAGTATCCCGGTAACCAGGTCGATCCCTCCACGCCCCGAGGACACCGGGTAACATACCCTTGCGCCAGACTGGGAGGAGCGAAAATAAAAAGAACGATAAGGTGTGCGGCTCCAGGGGGAGAAACCCATGCATTACGCTGTTTAGCCTCTTGTGGCAGTCGCCCAACTCTCCTCTGCAGGCGGCGAACGGATGAGTGCAAGCGGGAGCGAGTTGCGCTCCGAGGATCGCCTGACAAAAAAAAAAAAAAGTCACTGAACCGTTATGCGCCATAAAACTGGAATTGGGTGATGCTACCGAGACACTCTGCGGCCAGGCGGCACACGGCACAGTTCTTTGAGTTCTGATGGTGCTTTCGTGCTCATCCTCGTAAAACTCAGCGACGACAGTGACGCAGCGGCTGTCGCCCCTTTCGGCTCATCGAGCTGACCACAACTGCCACGGGCGTGGTCTTCGGACGACGATCACGGACGTACACGCGTGCGAACGCTGATCTGGACTGCCCTCGTTGATCTGAAACCGACCGCAGTGTTTTTATTGGACTGGTCATGAGGACTCTCACGGTAAGAGCTTAGTTTTACCGATGTCTGACAGGCTCATGATTTGTGTTTTCAGTGGGAGAGAAGCTGTATTTGTCCCAACATTGACAAAAACAGGCCCTCCTGCAAATGTTTTGGTATTGGTTACACTGTATATCTTTATGCTTTGTTTCAACGAGAACGTGCGGTATGCTTATGTTCTCGTGTTTTTCTGGGAAAGTCGCTTATTTGCGAGTAGAAATGGTCTATTTTTTCTTTAAGGTAATTGTATCTAGATCGAAGCAGTGAATAATAACAGTAGAAATAGGACCACACCCAAGATTTTTTCTTTTTTGTTTTATACAGCAAATGCAAATTGTTACACAGTTCTTACTTCTCCCGCATAAAATATCAACACTTGTAAGATGTTAAGGCCAGAAATAAGATAAGCAAAAAGTATGTAAATAAGTTATATTGTTGCTAAGTTCATGGTTTTCGTTCAAACTGTTAGTGACCAAGACAGATCAACACCCCTTGAGAGGTATGAAATAAAACAATGTATGGCGAGTTCTGCTAGCTCAGATGAAGAAATGTTTCAGTGAAAGAGAAGAATTGTTTCATTCAAAGTTATGGTTCTACAACATTAATCCCCTTTTCTTGTAAATTTAAAAAAGCTGCCTTCTAATAAAATCTCCAATAAATGTCACTAAAATCTTTTACCATTCAAAGTTAAGTTAATTGCTAAAACGCAACGTGCTTCAGGTACACGAGAGCCGTGATGCAGAAACCTTAAGCCACCCTCGCAATCTACCATATTGTCATGGTTACCCTTGACAACGCATCAAAACACGCGATCCTCTTTTTCTGAAAGCAAATGAGACACAGCAGCGATTTATGAAGACAAGCAGCTCCCAAAACTTTTGAGTAACGTACAACGCGTTGACAGTAGCAGAATATCTAGAGTGTTATCCCTAACTGGTATTTCACCGAAAAATGTTGAACGTTTATTGCCCATTGCACGTGCCCACACACTTTTACGCACACAAACGTCGCCCCTAACTTACGCACCCATTGTTCTAGCAACTGAAAAAACATACGCCAGTCGTCATCGAAGTATACTTTAGGTGAAACGCCTCATCGAATCAGCCTTTTAACTTTCATATACAGGGTGTTACAGGCAACTTTAGCCAGACTTAAAAATATTCCGGCACACGCAATTACGACGCGACTAAATCCATGTTGCTCTCCGTTGCCTGGAATTAGTCAGACTATTCTTTGTGTTCTCAAATATTGTTTAATTAGATCTGCTTAATTAACTAACTTTTGAAGGAACGAACATGGATAAATAATTTCATTGAGAAAGTTGTAGAACAGTCTGCAAGAAGTCCGAATAGATAGTTTTTAACATTATATCTGTTAAGTATTAGTGTTTTTCTGCTAATTACAAATGCCCACAATATACAGAAAAATACCCCGTGACAAACCCGCTCGCCCATCAGTGCGCATGATGATTCTAGTGCTCCCTTACGTTCCGCATTCGAACAATACGCTTCCCTCGCATCGGTTCATGACAGCGATAAGTAGTAATAGTGATTATGGTTTTTGTGGCCGATAGCAAAACGTGTTCATTGTAAAGCCACCACCATCGTTGCGGCCCTGTCGAGACAGCACAATCGAGCAAATGGTATGGTCGTTCGTACGTGGAACGTTAGGAAGCACGCGAATCATTGTGCGGACTGGCGCACGAGCGGGTTTGTCACGTGTTATTTTTGTATTTCGCGGGCATTTGTTATTAGCAGGAAAACACTAATACATAACAGATATAAAGTTCAAAACTATCTAATGGGACGTTTTGCAAAGCGATCTACAACTTTCTCATTGAAATTTTTTATACATCTTCGTTCCTCAAAAAGTTATAGAATTAAACAGATCAAATTAAACAATATTTGAGAACACAAACATAGTTCAACTCCAGGCAAGGGTGAGCAACATGCATTTGGTCGCATCGTAATTGCGTGTGCCGGCATATTTTTAAACTCTGGCTAAAGTTAACTGAGACAACCTGTATAACGTTCCCATTGTTGCAATGCCACGCTATAGCCTTGATGCGCCGGGTGAGATACGAAAACGTGACCTTGATATAAGTTGTGGTTCGAGCAGGAGCCGAATACCAGCATTGTGCGTGGCCATTAAGTGTTCTAACACACATTCACGTCCACGCTTCGCAATTTTGTTTTAAAAAGATGCACTATACAGGCGTCTTGTCGTTACTTTAATGACATCATATTGCGTTCCAGAAGAGTATAATCGCACCAGGTGTCACAGCACGTAAAATGCTCGACTAGTTGGTGGTTTAAAGCTTCCTATACAATACAAAAGGCCCAACCACAATCTATCGTCGTCATGTATCGTCAATCTATCGTCGTGAAGGAAGCACCACCATGATGAATCATCAGCCTACCTACGATCTGGGCTTCATTCATTTACCAGCACAATAGCAGTGTCATGTGAGAGAATAAATGTGATTTAGGTGTAAATGACGTACAGTACACATAAGGTGTTGGTACTTTAACACATCGACAAGCAAGAACATATCGATAAGGCATAATTCATACACCGTCTTTCAGGTATAATCAAACGCTTTCTGGAGAAAGGCAGTCGCATTTATTTTGTAGCCTCAGGAACGTGGTTCGGGAAAGATATAATGGCAGAAAATAATAAAAAATGAAGATGTATTGATTTAACTCACTTTAAATAAAGGTGTTACTAATCATAATGTCGGATGTTTAAAAATGAAGTATATAAAACAACAGTGTGCGACCACGAGACAAGCAATAAGACAAACAATGAATCTTCACGAAGCCACATTGAAGATTGAAGCGAGGGCGTCTGAATTTTAAATGACAGGTAAAAGGTATGAGGTATAGCAGAAGTCACTTCGTAATGATTGGGACAGCATTCTACAGTCACATCGAAGAAAGCAAGCTCTTCTCAGGGGCAAGCTTTTTGGAATGAAATGTAATAGATCACTGCCTTCACTGGCTTTCACTTTTCGATCGCTGGTATTTCCGAATAGCAGAGTACAAGCACTTTACTATGCAAATCCACTGCGTTTCTCGAGCATGTTAGAAATAACTTGACAAGATGGCGCGTCCTATCGTTAACGCAACGTATCGGTTGCCATTTTTAAGCTTCACGCTTGCAGCCGAACTTTGCATACACGCGTACCATAATGATTATGATATACATGGTCACACAAGCAGTATTCCCCTTCATTGTGAGCACCCTGTAGGATGATGAGGATAGTTGCTTGCCGCAGGCTGATCGAGCCTTCCATGAGCGTGTGGCATGCAATTGCTCTTCTCGAGTGCCACTTATCAAGGGCGGTACAGGGTCGCCATCCTCTGAGACACGATTACGGAGAGAGCCAATTTACAAGACGCTTGATTACCATCTGAAGTTACCCCCTCTATCTCTACACACACACACACACACACACACACACACACACACACACACACACACACACACACACACACACACACACACACACACACACACACACACACACACACACACACACACACACACACACACGCACGCACGCACACGCACGCACGCACGCACACACACGCACACACGCACACACACACAAACACACGCACACACACAAACACACACACAAACACACACACACACAAACACACACACACACGCACGCATGCACGCACGCACGCACACGTGTGAGCGCGCGCACGCACACTCACAGCGTGCATACGAAAAGAAAAAAGTGTGTGAGGACTGCTCAAAGCAGATTGTAAATTAAGGTCAGCAATATATACGTAATTTCCGCCACTTTCGCAATTTATTAAGCTTGAGCGCGCCTAGAGAAAGAAAACAGTGCACTTCTTTGCCACGACTTTTGTTAATATCAAAAAACAAGTAAAATACCATGCTATGACTTTATGTTTTTTGTTGCCAATCCAAGTGCATCTAAAAAAATCACAAACATGCCAAACAACACCAAATACCATAATTTCAGAACTTTGTTGCGGAAAAGAATTTCTCAAAACAACTTGGGATAATAAAGCTCACTACGTAATAATAACTCCAATACATTCACTCCAGTTATTTTCGTGGTTTGATCGCTCTCTGTTTTACTTCAGATTGCGCTGAAACGTGATTGGTTTACCAAAAACGGCAAAGTCTGAAAACAGTTACCTCAAATAGGACAGCAAATAGGCCAGCAATATCACAGCAAGGAGTGTCTTACGATGCTAGGAAGTGAATTTTTACATTAATCAACTAATTAAAAGTACACATGCGACCCAGACTACAGCAACGTCAATGGCTCTGGGCGAATCAGTGACATTCGTGGCGTCAAGATACCTGATGTTATTGTAAGGTTTTCCCAGGAAGAGTTGCACGTCACCGCTCTCTTTACAGGTTCTGTTCAGAGTCCCTGTAGTGGTCGCGAAAACTTCACCTGGCGCAACCACACGGCCGCCCCTTGTGAACACGCGCTATGCACCTCGACGCGCGGCGTTCGGAGGTGGCTTTGCAGTTGCTGTACAAGTTGTCACGGGATCATAGGGGGATGTGACAAGTTTTAGGCTGGTCGTCGGAGACAACATGCTGCGGCGCCGCTACAAGAGCTTCAGTGTGTCGACGGCGCATACCGATGTTTACAAACATAGAGTAGGTCCATACGTGCGTCATGATCACGCATAGAACTGTCTTTGAACACCTTTGTTATTCCAACGAAGAAATCTCACAGGGTCCCTTGTGCATTCACTAAAATTTACCTGAAGACCAAAGACGCGTTATTTTCCTTCTCAGTCGATTTTGGCTCGCCACCCGCCGAAAGCTTCTTGCACCTCACCTGGTTTTTCACTGCCTCTAGGATAGCAGGTACCTCACCTGTTTCCATATTTTCATCATGGCTGATCACCCATTGACCATGTGGCCATGGTATAACAATGTTGCTCGCCAAAATGACGTCATGGTGACGCCATATGATGACAACATCGCGTGACAATTTTTCT